CAGCAGGGCTATACTCCCTCTGAAACCCATAGGGAAGACTCCTTCCTTGCCTCTTCCTGCTTCTGTTGGTGGCCATCAACCTTTGGCATTGCTTAACCTGCAGCCATGTCACGCCATCCCTTCCTGCAATTACATGGCATCCTCCCTGCTGTCACCATCTAAATTTCCTTCTTTTTAAAAGGACACCAGTCATATAGGATTAGGGACCACCCTGATCGCCTTACCTTAACTTAGGTACATCTGCAAAGGTCCTATTTCCAAATAATGTCACCATCACAGGCTTCATCATATTGGGGGGATTATAATTCAACCCACGATAGCTGGGTAGGCATTCTGGTCCAGTATTGGGAAAATAATGGCTGCCAAGTCACTGTGTTTTAAATTTAGCTTGTATGCATATCTCTTGCACCTCTTGTTAAAATGCGGTTTCTGATTCAGTAGGTCTGAGGTGGGGTCCTGAGAAAAGTACACATTTCTAATACATTACCAATGACCCAAAGAGCACATTTAAGAATAGCAGGAGCCTGACTCTGTCCTGTCCAATACCGAGCCACTTACCACATGTGGCTATTTAATTTAGAACTAAATGAATGAAGATGAAATTAAATAAGCAAATTAAGCCCCATAATCTCACTAGCCACATTTCAAGTGCTCAATAGGCATATGTGGCCAGTGGCTGCAGTACAGGATGGTGCAGATAGAGAACATTCCCACCATTGCTGAGATATCTCGGAGACTGCTGCTCTAGGCCTGGGGGACTCAAAGGGGGGTCTCAGGGCCACCTGGGAACTTGCTACACGTGCATCTCCTCAGGCCCCAGCCCACATCTACTGAAGCAGAAACTCTATCGCTGGGGCCCAGCAGTGTGTGAACAAGCCCTCTAGGCGACTCTCTGCGGACACAATCAAGTTTAAGAACCAGTTCTCTTTTGGTGATGTTTTTTCTCTTCATATAGACATAGTAAGGATGTAAAACACCTGACTGTGATTGCACGAAGATCAGTTAATTGGATTATTAAGACACTCCTGGGACATAGTTACCCTCTTGTAGGAGCAGCTATGAAGAAGAATTAGGATGGTTGGCCCGTTTTAGCCTAACCTGCCTCCAACACCGGCGCTGGAGATGAGGACGTACAGGTAGTTTACTGTGCAACGTGACCCCAGGGAACAGGAGTATATTACATGGCATCCTCCCTGCTGTCACCATCTAAATTTCCTTCTTTTTAAAAGGACACCAGTCATATAGGATTAGGGACCACCCTGATCGCCTTACCTTAACTTAGGTACATCTGCAAAGGTCCTATTTCCAAATAATGTCACCATCACAGGCTTCATCATATTGGGGGGATTATAATTCAACCCACGATAGCTGGGTAGGCATTCTGGTCCAGTATTGGGAAAATAATGGCTGCCAAGTCACTGTGTTTTAAATTTAGCTTGTATGCATATCTCTTGCACCTCTTGTTAAAATGCGGTTTCTGATTCAGTAGGTCTGAGGTGGGGTCCTGAGAAAAGTACACATTTCTAATACATTACCAATGACCCAAAGAGCACATTTAAGAATAGCAGGAGCCTGACTCTGTCCTGTCCAATACCGAGCCACTTACCACATGTGGCTATTTAATTTAGAACTAAATGAATGAAGATGAAATTAAATAAGCAAATTAAGCCCCATAATCTCACTAGCCACATTTCAAGTGCTCAATAGGCATATGTGGCCAGTGGCTGCAGTACAGGATGGTGCAGATAGAGAACATTCCCACCATTGCTGAGATATCTCGGAGACTGCTGCTCTAGGCCTGGGGGACTCAAAGGGGGGTCTCAGGGCCACCTGGGAACTTGCTACACGTGCATCTCCTCAGGCCCCAGCCCACATCTACTGAAGCAGAAACTCTATCGCTGGGGCCCAGCAGTGTGTGAACAAGCCCTCTAGGCGACTCTCTGCGGACACAATCAAGTTTAAGAACCAGTTCTCTTTTGGTGATGTTTTTTCTCTTCATATAGACATAGTAAGGATGTAAAACACCTGACTGTGATTGCACGAAGATCAGTTAATTGGATTATTAATACTCCTGGGACATAGTTACCCTCTTGTAGGAGCAGCTATGAAGAAGAATTAGGATGGTTGGCCCGTTTTAGCCTAACCTGCCTCCAACACCGGCGCTGGAGATGAGGACGTACAGGTAGTTTACTGTGCAACGTGACCCCAGGGAACAGGAGTATGACCCTGGGGAGAATGAAATAGGGGACAGGAGCATTAATACAAGGCTGTGTCACTGAGCTGGGTGCTGCTCTGGGCAACTGGGGCTCACTCCACTGAGAACCCTCCGGAAAACCCTGCAGAATGGGCCTCAGCACTGTCTGAGAAAGGGAAGGCCTGACGTCCTCCACTGGGCAAGGATGGTGCCGTAAGTGCTAACTCTCTCACACTTTCAGTTTTCTTCATGCACTGAAATGGCTGCGTGGGCTCCAGCGGGGGTCCCGTCCTCGGAGCAGGGAAGCTGGGACAGACAGCAGGAAATGAGTGACCCAGCTGAGACGAGGTATCAGAAGGTTGCTGTCACGGTCTCATTCCTTGAACCTGGATCCTTGCAGCAACTGACAAATAGGAGTAAAACACAGGACACAGGGAGGTAGAGTCAGAAAAGCATGTTCTTTTGTCAAAACAGCTAATCTGATGTTCTTTGCAAAGTCTGTAAAGATGCAGGCAGTCAATTTAGTTGTTTCCTTATATTTTCTCCCCCTGCCTTTCATTCGGAGACTTCTACCATGCAGTGATTAAAAACCACCCTTTTTGTGCCTAATGTAGTCACATGCCAGTATTATGAACAGCTCCCAGTATGCCTCCTGGTGGAAGAGAAGAATGGCTGTGCTGATGTTCTGTCCTGGGGACTGCCTTCAGAGGGTCCTGCCTGTAATGCCATTCTGCCACTGAATCCTGAAGAGTTGTGTGACACCCAGCACCACCGTCCACATCCTTTGCAGTTTAGAATGTGTGATTTTAACATTAAGAGTCTCTGAAACAATGTTTTGCTGTATGATCCAACCCATGGCATCAAGAAGTACACAATTAGCTGAGCTGATGGGGGAGTATTCACAGGGGCCAAGGATTAGCGCAGAGGAAGTCATGAAGATCCGTTTGCCATTGAGACTCTGACAGCAGTGGTTGGTGGCCCTGTCCCAGCTTCCAGTCAAACATCCTACTTCCTTTCTGCCTTCTCATCCTCAGACTTCCTTTTCTCTCTTGCTCTTTACAGACGTGGGGCATGACAGCAGGCGCATGCAATTGGAGTCCCTGTTGCTTACCCACTAAACACGGAACCAAAAAGGCAACTTATCAGAGCTTCATCTTCTCTATTTGTAGACAGCAGATAGTAAGTTCTACTTCCCAGGCTTTGTAACAATTCGGAGACCAATATGTGGAAAGGCTTTACCCGGGAGCCTCAACCACACACGGAGGTTTAATAAGTATTAACTCTCTGTACAGGAGTCTTCAATTTCTTTCCCCTTTTGTCTCTTTCTATCCCCCCTTTCCCTTCTCCCTTCTCTTCCCCCAACCCCCACTCTCTCGGTGTTCCCTTTTCCGGCTTCCTTCCCACTGGCCCCCATGGGCTTCATGGCATACTTTCTTCCACTGTACTTAGACACACAATTGTGGCTTCCTGATCATGAAGGTGGCAGAATGGAACCAGACCCTTCTTGACAATTTTATCAATGAAGTCTAAGCAGAAATAAGAAGGAGGGCTATTTAAAAATGGGAGGAGTGACCCATCATCCCAGGTGGTAAGGTTTTTGCTCGTTAAACATCTCCAGTTCAGAAAAATGCACTCTTCTGCCTGGATGATCCTTTAATGTGGGCACCGGCTGCAAGCTTGGGGATTGGGTCAGCAGGCAGAACCCAAGAATAGCAAACACGTGGCCTCCATCTATATCTGCCCCACTGAGAAGTTCTAAATGACAAAAGGATTTAAAATGGAAACTTTCTGATGTAAACTCCAATCCCTAACACTTGCTAGTGTAAACACACTGGCTTCACTTTTTTATGTGACCAGCCTGGTCCTCTGTTCAGCACATCTGTGTTCTTCTTTCCCTAAACCCTGTCATGCAGGGGTTTGGGTTGGGGGTAGGGGTAAGATGGGAGGAGAGAGAAAACACATACGGCTTTTTCTGTGTGTGGTAAAATATACATAACATGAAATTTGCTATTTTAACCATTTTTAAGTGCACGAGTCACTGACATTAATTAATTCACAATGTTGTGCAACCATCACCACTATTTGCAAAACTTTACCCTAACACAAGCTCTGTACTCAGTAAACGTTAACTCCTCGTTCCCTCTCCCCTCAGCAACTGGTAACTTTGAATCTACTTTCTGTCTGTATGAATTCACCTACTCTAGAAATCTCATATAAGTGTAATCATACAAATATTTGTCCTTTTGTGTCTGGCCTATGTCACTCAGTGTACTGTTTTTGAGGCTCCTCCACGTAGTAGCATGTGTTAGAACTTCATTTCTTTTTATGGTTGAATAAAATCCCATTGTACGGATATAGCAATTTTTTAAATCCATTCATCCATCAGTGGACTTTGTTTGCCTCCACTTTTTTGTTAATGCGAAAAACACTGCTATGAATTTTGGTGCACAAATACCTATTTGAGCCCCTTTCAATTCCTTTGGGTATATATCTAGGAGGGGACTTGCTGGATGATATGGTAATTCTCAGTTTAGCTTTTTAGGGCACCATAAGCCATTTTCCATTGTGGTTGCACCATTGCACATGCCTACCTCTAGACTTGAAACAACCAATTATTTCCAACTTGGAGAGAGTCACATTTATCTCATTGTTCTTCCCCATTTTTCTTAAGAAGCACATGCCAAATGTTGGCTCTACCAAAGATGACCAGAGAAAACTTGGACCAAGCAAGTCAAGTTTATCAGGCTTATTACAGAAAGATACATATTATATCTTTAAAGGGTTTAGTAGAGTCTCAGAAGGGAACTGTCAGGGTCAGATGTTCTGGGTCTTTAGGGCCTGGCCTTGGTGATGTTAAGGCAGGTCTTGGAGCCTGAGTCACTGGTTGGCACTGAGCAGAGTTTGAGGCACAATAGCTTTGGATTGGTGGGAACAGTGAAGTGAGGTCTTGAAGCCAGTCTTGACCAACAAACTTTTAGTCTTGAGAAGTAAGCTCTTTTAGTTGACTCATACTTTTATCTTCCAGGAGCAAGTATTTATGTCCTAGGGCAAGGAGATAAGACAGTTTTGCTTATTATTTAACATAGAGACAATATGCTGCATCCCAGTATTGTTTCACACAAGCACAGGAAATTATGTTGGTTTCCATCCTCATAGGTAAGGTGGGAAGAATCTTATCTTTACTCTAATTTGTATAATTATTCATGAAGTGAAAGCCACAACAGTAAAAGAGGGATGGTAGAACCGTGAATGATGGAACTGGGATGGCAGTTAGTTGCGAATTTTAGACCTTCAGACAAGGTCTCTGAACCTAGATCAAGTTGAATTTCTGGACTCTTCATTTGAATTCTAATTTGTGAATACTTTGTTTTAATGTTTATATAAATTATATATCCAGGAGGAATTTTCCCAAAGTTCTCAGTCTTGTCAGTCCTGGGTCTCACCTCCTTTCCTCAGACTAACTCATGCATGTACACACATGCGTGCACACACACACACACACACACACACACACACGGTTCCCCTTTCCTCACCACATCCCTTTTAACACGACCTCTGCTTAGTCAAAAACTGACAAAAAGCAGTGAGAAAAACTAGGCCAGCTTCACACAACTCTGCATTGTTTGAGAAAACAGGAAAAAAATAGCACATTTGTTAGCTTGAATCTCATGTGTGGTTACATAAGTTGTTTTAATTTTGACAACATATTTCATGTATTCAGATTCCTATATTTTAAAATCATAAAATCAGAATTTCGTAACAATTTTTTTGGCAATGGCCCATAATGATGTGCTAGATTTTCTGTTAAATATGACTTCAAAGTTTACAACAGTCAGTTGAAACAACCAGAAAAAGTTAAACATTTATGCATCAGAATTCCTCTTTGGAAAGCACTTTATTTGTGGGAAAGAAATATTTTGATAAGCAGCTTGGACTGGGAGTGGGGGTCCCAAGGACATGATAAGCTGCAGTAATAATATTAGTCAAGTGCTTTTTATGGAGCCTGGATCCTGTTAACAGGGGGCCGTTTGTTTAGGTGAGCTGTGAAGGGGTTTTGCGTGTGCCCGTTTGGGAGCAGAAGCAACAGGAAAGCAGAATCTCTGTGTGATAGAGAGAAGATGGGGCTGGGCTGAACACTGTTGGAGGCAGGGGAGAGGGAAAAGCAATTCTCCATCATGACGCATCACAAAGCAGATAGAAATGCAGTATTTATAAACTTTAGGCCACAGTTTCTTATCCTCAGCACCACTGGCATTTGGCCAGGTAATCCTTTATTGGTGGGGCTGTCCTGTGCACTGCAGGATGCTCAGAGGCATCCCTGACCACTACCCACTAGATGCCAGGAGCATCTTCCCCCTCCAGCAGTTATGACAACCAAAATGTCTTTGGATATTGCTTAATGTGCCCTGGGGAGCAAATCGCTGCTGGGGGAGAACCACTGTGTTACGTCTTTAGTAAAGTCTACTTTGCTCAGAGGGGTAAAAAAAGGCCAACAGCTAGCTACTAGGATGAATGTTCTTATCACAGGAAACAGGAAGTGACTACAGGTTGCTTTACTAGACCACTCTACTCCTGTACTAACACTCTAGACCTGAGCCGCGGCTCTGTACACATTCAGATTTCTAACAAATGGTCTGACACATATTGCAAAGGTAAAATGAGGCAGAGCTAGATCTCCAGAGCCCTAGTTCTGCTGTACACTTGTTAGCCTTGACTGCTGCTTTCTTACAGCATTTTTGCCATATGACTTAACACCTGCATCTAACTGTCCCTTCTGTAGACTTGAAGTTCTTTTATTATCACCACCTTCCAACACAATGTCTCAAATATTCTCAGCCTGAAGTCACAAACTGACAATCCACAGGCCTTACTTGGTATGCAGCTATGTTTTATTTAGTCCTCTTAAACACTGAGAATGTTCACCTTAAGATACAGATTTACAACTTTTCAGAAAGAATCAGGAGATGGTTCAACAGTAGACCAGTCTTACCACATGGTCACAATTCAATTCCTGGAGCTGAGAATCTACTTGCTTCCTCTTTCGAAGAGGTACATACTTACCAGTTTGCAGAGTTCCTTCCATCCTCGTGGTATTGCTACAGCCCCTTTTCTTGTCTGTGTTCCTGTCCTGGCCCCTGTGTATTTTCAACCCCCTAGTATAAGTGCCCCTAAAAATGTTAACAGTATTGGCCTTTGATTTAACATTAGGTATCCTAATATTGTAATGTGAATAAAGCAAGAAAAAAGTGTCATGCAGCCTGAAACAAAGCTGAATTTATTTGCCTGACCAAGGAGAGCTGCATCACTCAAGCACAAAATGAACAGGTCATTCTGAACAGAAACTGCAAGGGCTGGATATCTGCTGAAAAGAAAGCAAATATATACTCTGACTATAATTCTGATTGCTCCTGAGGTAGATCACAAACTCCTTTTTACAACTGGTCATTGCACCAGCTTATGGCCCCAAAGCAGGATGAGAGTTCTGGAAGAGAACCATCGATGGTTTTATGAGGCTCTAATTAGCTTTGGGCCATGCGAATCTGAATGTCCACAAGTGGTTAATAATAACAACTATTATTTAGACAATCAGGTGAGTATCCGAATGACTGAGACAATAGGCCTCCCAGGATTTAGTTTGATCGCAACTCTGGTACTGTCTTCAGGACCACCAAGAACATCTTAGTGATGTTACATGTGGACCATTCAGCGTTGGGCTCCTTGAGTTCTGCACCCACTCTTTTTTTGTACCTCTAAGGAATCTACTGGGTCCTTGAGTTTCCCAAACACAGCACTACAATATTGTACCAAGCAGATTCTCCCAGCTCCATGCTCTACAGGGAAATTACGTCAGGCTGGGTACTTCCTGAAATAGGACATTGATTTTCTCCAGCCAATGTGATATGTCAGTCAATCTCATGGCCATGGATTTTGGACACTAAAATAAGTTATTGCTCTATCAGTGGACATGCTTTAGGTACAGACTTCAAACCAAGCTTCATTCCCTTTGGTTGTAATTGACAGGATGACTAATACCCATTTGACATTTTAAAAGTAAATACTCAAAAGCATGATAGGTAGACTGAAATACTAATCACTCATCATCTTTACAAAGTAGTTGTCTCCCATGAACCTAGTAATTTGACAGTCTTAGGGAACCTCTTGAAGATGCTGGTAATGGTGACAGAAGTTAAAGTAATGAAATTTGGTATCTATAGATAGTTTTTTACCTCTACTGACTTCTTAAATGTTTTTAAATTTCTGCCCTTATTATCACCCTCCTTTTAATTTTTTGTTATTGTGGTAAAACATATACAAAAATGTCCACTTTAACCATTTTCAAGTGTATAGTTCAGGGACCTAATTAATTTTTTTAAAAAGCTGTTACTTTGCCAACAAAAAGAGTCCATTGGTTGAAAGAAGGACAAATCCATTTAGGTCTATTTTCACACATGTAAATGGGGACCAAAGATCCTATTCCCTGAGTCTTTCCCTCTAAACGCTCCGAAATTAAAGAGGTAAAGACATAGCTACGTATATATTTACTGTTTTTAGAAACAGAATCTCAATTATCCTTGTCTTTTCAAACCCTGAATTGGGTGTTTAGATTATGTAGAAATAATAAGAATATTATTTTAAGATTTGGTAAGATGAAAGACCTAAACTAAAGAAATCATACCAAAACAGTTTATCCACTATCAGTTGATTAGTTTCAATCTATTTATCTTATTTGTATGCTTTCTAAAAAAATCATAGAAAGTGAAAAATAAAGCATGTAAAGCAATAGTAAAATTTGAGTAAGCAAGTATTCTTTATTTACTGTAAAAATTATTACTCTCTTAAAAATAAAAGCAGAAATAAGATTGAATACATGTTTTGAACTTTGGATCTTTTTATATCTTCTCATAAAGCAAAAACAAAGTATTGTAGGTATTGTATAGGCCAGGTATTCCCAGTGATATAAAAACACTGGCTTAAGAAGTTGTTGATTGATCCTGTTGTTAATTGCTCGAGAGCTAAATCCTTTCCTTGGAAATTCCCAGCATACAACCACAGTGTAAAGCCTCTGAGAAACCCTAATAAATAATAACCTTCTCATAATAAAATAGAAACCTTTTCAATTTTCTCAGTGGTTAGTAACATATGTGCTGTAATGGTATTTCCTGTGGATTCATGTGCTTTATCTCTTCATTGTTATCAAAATTGATCCTCATTCATATAGGATTTATTTTTTTTAAGATGCTGAAATTATTCAATTCTTTTAACTTCCTGTGTGAAATCATTTCACAAATTAGGAAAGTGGTGCTATTAAAAGGATAGAAAAATTCCTGAAACTACCCAAAGTAGCATCCGCTAAGCAAAGCCTTTATTTTCGTCTTGCATTTCAGCAGCCTTGCAGGATGTTATTTACCAAAGCTCTTTACCTGCAATCCCAGGAACTGCCACTAGGTGGTGGTGGGCCAGTTTGGAACTACAGGCGCCCTTCCCAGGGAAGAGTGAGGGTCCGACAAGCTCAAAGCTCAAAATAGGATTTTTTTTTTCTTCAAAAAGAAAGGAAAGAGAGAGAAAGAAAGAGATAAAGGAAGGGAGGAAGGAAGGGAGGGAGGAAACCAAACAATTACAAAAAATGAAAAAATGTCATGACAGCATCATGAATTAGCAAAATTCATCTATCAATACGTTGTTTTAAATAAACAGCTACTAGGTGCCAACTTCCTTTGCTGGCCCCCCTCCCTCCCCTCTCCACCAACCTCCTCTGCCCTCCTTGGAGTTCACAGGCAGCTGGGGTGAACAGTTCCTAGCACAGTGACCACTACCCACTTCAAGTAGGGGGAACACCCTCTGCTTCTCTGTCAAGGATTTTTCTCTAATTCAAAAGGTTTTTGGTGTCTGTTCTGTTTGTGTGCTCTGGGAAGCCTGGGAGTCTCAGGAACTTAATAACTTCAGGGTCAGCACTCACCCAATGAGGGAAAGCAGTTCATGGATAAATGCCCAGCTCCCCTCTGGGAGGGGCCGTTCCAGGAAGCTTCTGTGTGGCTCCTCAGAGGGTCCCCAGGGAGACTGAGCCCCAGATGTCCCTAGGGGAAAACTGCTTGCTTACATGCCACGTATCAACTGGCCTTTTTCTCCACCCCTTCTCCCTTTGCTGTTCCCTCACCGGAGCTGAGATCGCCTCCCACCCAAAATGACTTGTCCTAAGTTGTCTCAGGGCCTGCTTTGAGAGAACCTAAATAGGACACTAGTCCCATTTAACTCCAGTATCTTTTCAGCCTTATTAGATACTAATCAGTGTTAGAATCCAGGCATTGGAAATCATACCCAGATTGGTTTGGGTGCACACACACAAACTTGTGCTTGTTTTCAACCCTGCTATAAGTCTGGCAGAAGAAAAAGCTACACAAGCTGACATTTGAACATTACTGACTTGCTAATTGCAATTCTTAATTTGAGCTAGCCTCTGTGTCCTTGCGGTTTAAGCTGTTGGATTTCTTGGAAACTCTTTTCTCACTAGGTCTCATTATGGCTAAAAACAGAAAAGAAGACCTACACTACACACATGAGCATGGTGGCCATTGTATGATTCTGTTTATAATCTGGCTTTTTACCTGAGCCAAACTGCATTTTTTCCCCTTAGTTCTTTTTCTTTAGAGCAGTTTTAGGTTCACAGCAAAACTGAACAGAAAGTTCAGAGAGTTCCCACATGCCCCTGGCACCCCCTCATGCATGGCCTCCCCCACTATCTATGGGAAACTGTCTTGAAATTAGATATTTTTGTCCTCTTGAAACTTACAAAAATTTTTCAACATCACACAGATTTTAAAGGTCGTAATACAGTGATGTACCAACTGTGTCTTTGATCTTTGTCTCAAGTCTCCTCATCCTCAGCCAGCACCCCTCGCAGGAAGGCCTGCAAAAAGATTCGCAGGACGCTCTCTGGGGGCTGGGCATGGTCAGGGAGCCTCTCTGAATTGGAGTGGAGGTCTGCTGAGTTTCATCAGAGTGAGATCTGAGAGACAAGAAAATGACAGCCTTCTGTTTTACGAAAGAAAAGTCGTCCAGAAGAAAAATTAAAGTAGGATTTCCTTAAAAAAAAATTAAGGTTTTAACTAAATCTTGAAGCCATGTTAACAGCCTGTGTGGCAACTTGCTCCAACGAAGCAGTTCCTGGGTGAAAGTCAGAAAAGTCAGAGGAACACATGAAGAAATGAACAGCATTTGGATTTATTTCAGCACGTATGGTTTAAGGCTCTTGAGCTTCTCCTAAGGAGAATCAGATCTGCAGCTGCTGCTTTTGTTAATGCCACAATTTTATGGTGAACTCAACAAACATTTACTGGTTACGAGATGTGTGCAAGGCACCGAGGGACACACGTGTGCAGGAGGGTGTCCGCGTTTCCTCAGGGCCGAGCCTGGGATCTGCGCGCTCCTGCCTGCCTTCTGCAGGTTCCTCATTAAGAGGTGCGTAAGGAGGAGCACGAGGTCCAGGAGTGCAAACAGCGTGCCTAAAATCAGGTGACCTACTGTAGGCAGAATGCAAACCTAGATCTCTGACCCCAAAGCCTTTCTCCGTTCCAGTTCATTACACCACCTCTTTAACAAGGAAATCAATTTGCCAGCGGGTTTTCCCAGGTAGGGTCATATTGTTTCACATTTGGTTAAAGCAATGTTTACTGAGGTCCACCCCTGTCCCCACGCCACCCCGCTCTGTTTCCAGCAGCCGGCTCAGCAACAGCAAACAGGGTCCCCTTGAGGCCCACGCTGGAAATGTATCTAGTCTGCACTGACATGTGCTTTAAAATACACGCAGGATTTCAAAGGCTTGCTAAGAAAAAGATAATGTAAAACGGCTCATTAATAACGTTTTGATACCAACCGCGTTGAAATAATGTTCTGGCTGAATACGGTGAACTATTCATTAAAATTAATGCCAACTCTCCCTTTCACTTGCTTAATGTGGCTACCAGAGAATTTAAAATTACCCCTGAGGCTCGCATTCTTTTTCTAAAAGACAGCTCAGCAGCACGGGCTGGCCTTAGGTCTTCTTCTTTGTTCCGTTCTTCATAGATTAAGTTGCTATTACTGGGAGTTTGGGGAGGACTTGTCAGGAGGGCTGACAGCTTTTCAGCAGGACTGGGTGTTAGAAGAGACCCTAATGCCAAGGACTTAACTTGGCTAATCTGCCTGAGCTGGAAATGAGCGGCCTCGGTCTTTAGCAGCTAAGCCCTCCAGTGAGTTTTGGCCTCTGGAAACACTGCCTGTCTTTTCAGATTCTATCTTACGGAGTTTAGAAAAGGACCGGTGATGAATCGTTGAGGAACAAAACAAACATATCCTTACTGTTTTGGCAAGCGATGGTCCAGGTTCAGTGTTTCTAAATTTGTCTTGAGCTTACCTGGCTAGCAAGCTGAGAGCTACTGCACTGTTTGCTTCTACTTATAAAGGAAACGCCTCTGACTGTAGTCCTCTTTCAGGCTCTGGTTGAAAGGGATGGAAAAGTACATTTGCTTCGGGGAGGCTAAGAGACAGAAAGAAACCCTGCAGGGAATATCACTTTACCTCCTCCAGCTGGGAAAAAGACGACTGGCCCAAGATGGGATTTCAGCCCTGTGGTTAAATAAGCAAACAATCTAACCCTGCCATAGAATAATAATAATATGAAAGGGGATAGATAAATCCAGGTCAACTCCCCACAGTCAGCAGCCCAAGACACAGAAGCCCAGGGAGGCTGGGCTGGTGGAGGTCATTTAACATTACCACAGGGGGTACATCTTACATGTAAGGGGGTACACAGCCCTTACATCTGCAGGGGGTAGGGGTGGCACAGAACTTCACAGCTGATCCAGCTCAGGGCTCTCAACTGCTGAGTACATTCAAATCGCCTGGGGATTGGTAAAAATTCCCATGCCTAAGGCTGCATCCAGAAAAGTCAGTCAGTGTTAGATGTTTCCTAGGTGATTCCAATAGGCAGCCAAGTTAGAGAACCACTGACCAGTTCCCACCCTGATTTTGCAGAGACTGAGAGCTAGGAAGGATCAGGGACTTTGCTTTAAGTTCTAAGAGCCAGCAAGAAGGTGAGCTGAGACAAGTCCCTTATGTTTCTTTGACGTTGTACTTTCTTCACCCTTCATTCTCAGTCCATTATTCATAGATCACACCGCTTTGTCTTCCTCTGAACTGGCCTTCCTCTCTATCTCTGCAGAGCCCTCTCCCCCTTGGCTGAAATGCACCTGCCAGGTGACACTTCCTGAGACAGGCCTGCCTGGCCACCTGAACCACCCATCCCCACCGCCCCTTCCCCCATCACCATCACACCGGTTTCCTCTGGACACTCATCACTGCCTGAGATCACCCCCATGCATTCTCCGTCTTCTTCAGTGGACTGCAGCTTGTCCGGCAGGCTCTCGGCCCTCTTGCCAGCTCCTATGATTGTCCCTGGCCCATGGTAGGGGGTCAGTGGGTCACTGTGGCCAGAATGAATGTTGAACGAATTCTCAGCAGTGACATTTTCCTGTGACATTCTTTTAAGAGTATCACTTCACAGGAAATATACTCCCAATTATGTAAGTGGAGAAAATATTTAATTTTGAGAAATATTTTTCCAGTTCAACCCTTCAGAATCACATCTGTTCCATCACATGAGGCTCATCTGGGTGGACAATTTGAATATACGTCAGTTCTAAGATAGACTCCTAGTCTATTTAAAGGAACATTTTCCCCATGATCCAAAAAAGGACTTTGATTAGATAAGGGAGTGTGATTAGAATAAGGGAGTATCACATGACCGAATGGAAACATTCGCTTCCAAGGAAGATCAAATTATAATTGCCTTTCTTGCAACTGAAAGGATGAACAATACGGCAATTATAAAAAAAGCTTTCCAGGTGAATAATACTGGATACAGTAAAGTATGGCAGGTGGCAGGCCACAAGACCATGGCATTCAAATTATTTGAGTGCCCATATTCATGCATTTTACAAAATGGTATAAAGTGATTCTGTAAATACTCAGAGGTCACGGTCAATTCCCAAATGCATTAATGGAAAGCTGCAATAAACATGACCCCTGGGCTGCTGACATCAGCACATATGTAGCACTTACTGTATGTGGGGTTTAAAGCCTCCTTACTCAAAAGCAGACAGTATCACCTTAAAGCTTGTTACAAATGCAGTCACAGGCTCCATTCTCCAGACCCACAGAATCAGAACCTGTAGTTTAAGGTGCCCAGGGAATTCACACACACACACTTTGAGAACTGGTCTAGAATTAGGCTCTAGATTAGTGTCTCTCACTTTTGGAGAACAGAGGATTTTACTCCCCATGGGACATTTGGTAATGACTGGACACATTTTTGATGGTCACATCTGGGGACAGCGTTGGGGGGGATGTTATTGGCATCCAGTGTGTAGAGCCTGGGGATGCTGTCCAACATCTTTATAATACCCAGGACAGCCCTCCCATCCCACCACCAAGAAGTCAGTAGTGCTGAGGCTGAGAAACCCTGATCTAGACCTAGAGATTCTGGAGTTTAAATGGTAACATTATTATTAATAATACAGCAAATTGTAGCTTATAAGTGTCGCGACGCTTCAGGGACCGAAGCAACATGCCCAAGGTCTTGATTCTTCTCTAGGCTTTGTTGTCTAATCTCTCACAGCGGTTACAGCAGTTGTCGGGCAGCTCTCCTCCCTCCTGGCGGCTCCCTTATATTCAGTCACCCAACGAATCCGGGACAGTATCATGCGTGACCTTTAAGCGGATAGGTGTCACGCGCCACTCTAAGTGGGCAGCACGAGCTGTGCACGGGTACGGAAGTCTGCTGGGCCAATCCCCAACAGGGAAGAGGGGAAAGGGTGGTGAGCAGGAAGCAGGCGCCATCTTTAGGGCGTTGTCCAGCTATAGTGGGGCTCAGCCTCGGCCGTAGGCCGGGCCCCCACATCTCCCCCTTTATTGTTTTATAACCAAAGGTCTGTCGGGATCATGCCTGTCTTAGGTTGTCCGGAGTCTGCTGCATTCTTACCCGTCCTCAGGCAACAGACAGCTTAGGTCTGCGCCCTGTCTTAGGTTGATATGCGCAGCTCCCGATCTTACCCGTCCTTGACTACTGATCCAGCATAAGCCATACTCTAGGGGAGATGCCTTCCTCTAGCGCTGCCATGGCCTGCAACAGGACCTTCCGTTCTCCCCGTTGCTGTTTTTGTAACAGACTTTCCTCCCAAGCAGGAGAGGCCCACAATTAGCAATATTCCTATGACACCTACACCTGACCAGGCTTTGGTGGCGTTTAACACAGCTTCAGCTATTTGAGCTACAGAGAGCATCTCTACCTTCTTGGAGCTAACATTCAAAATTTCTAACCGTAGCTGAGTGGTGAGCTCGTCAAGCTCACTGGACCAATTTGTGGTTAACATCTTGCCTAACTGTCTGGACAAGTTGGCAGCTTTAGAATAATTATGAAAAGGAATACCAGTAATACACCCCCGTATAAGAATGGACGCAGCCCACAGACAAAACCTCCCCCAAGAGGTCCAATTGTTCTTGAAGAAGGTTCATGCGTTGGTTGACCAAGGCCATCCCATTCTTAAAATGGCCATTGATGACGTTCTGCGTTGTCATTGCCGAGGCAGTAGCCTGGGCGTCTCTGCTGTAGGAATGGTGATAGTCAGCACGGCAGTGGCTGCAGCTGCAGCTCAGCTCCGCCGTCGCCTGCTGTAGGATCCACGGCAGGAGCAGAAGCAGTGCGATCATCTTGTACCTCTGCTCTGGGGTTTTCCACTCTGCGTATCAGACGTTCAGGCACCCAAACGGGGTTCTGCTGGTCCTGTGGAAAAACACAAACTGAGCCTCGGGTCCAGATTATCACTGGGTCCGGGCCTTTCCATGTTCCTTCCAACACATCCTTCCACAAAACTTTAGGCATGTGTTTTGGATTGGATTGTTGGCCGTGCCGCTCTGCTGCACTGCGGCCATTTTTGTCCAGTGTTCTAAAATCTTCTCCTATTCCCCCTTTTTGTTTATATAAG